AAAAGGAGGCCATCATCAGGCAGGGAATAGGGAATAGTTTACGGTGGTGAATGTGCACATTGAAAACGTGTATAACTGAATATTGTCGAGGCCTATCCCAACACTGTCAAGAGCTGCAATTGAGCGCTGTGTGGCATCATATAAAATATCGCCACAATTCATCATCAGAAACCTGTTAGATTACACTGAACTCACCACAACTCGTTGCTGTGTACTTTTTACAAAATAATCCAGACCCAAGGGGGCAATTAGTTATTTTTAACGGTTATTGAAATGCCATTTCTCTGTTCCTGTTTATATATTTGTCACATTAACTAGTCTCGATTCTTTCCGTGTCTACATTATAAATTGTTTAACAGTATTGAGCAACATCGCTTCAGGAAGGGCATGTGCTCAATAATAAATTAATACGTTTTACACTGCACTTCATAGGCTCTAATGAGACTGTAATCCAATATTTGTGGTTAGAGTAAATTGCTATGGTGGCTTATTTGATTAAAGCCTTTCGCGCCGGAATACTTGCTAATCCAGTCCACCAAGTCATCTTGCTGAGACGGGTAATATTAGATCTTTGCCGACACATCTCTTGCCAGATAGGTGACGTTCGCACAAAGGTGACGTGCAAGTGTCGATGTGCCTTCCCATCGCCACGCGGCCTGAGAAAACCTGGGAGAAAATGCGCGGCCCCATGTTTCCCTGCACGGTCCATAAAGGGAATTGCTCAGCTGTGGGTTATGTTGGCAATGGACCACCTGGCTCCCTTTCCCCTGCCCCGAGACACACTCGTGATTAAAATTATGTGGGAAGGCTGGAAAAATCAGGCATTGCTCCAATAAATCAATCCTGTCTCTGAGTATGAGACGGAAGATGTTACAACCCACCCACCTCACCTCCCCCATCCCATTCCCTCTTTCGAACACCACAGCTTTTTCATTAAAATAAGCAGTGCCCCCTTGTGTGTAATGACGTTTATGTTACAATTTTTAAGATGTCCAATGCTGCAGCACAGGTTTAGCCGGTGCTACGTTGTGCGACTGCCTTCGTAGCAGCAAGGCAATTGGCATGCAGCCACGGTCATGTACAGGTCTGACCGCGGTGTCATATTCAGTTGGGCATTGAATTAATCCATCGCTTCTCAATAGTCAACATTGGTCAAATTATAGAATGTTCTTTGCCAAAATAACCATAGGAATGTGGAAATTCAAAAACTGGCTCAGGAATGAGAGTTGAGCAAAGCACTGCCTGGTACACATTTGACCATTGGGACAATTTGGATTTGTTTTAAATTTGGTACAATATAGCACAAAGCATTAAATACACTCGAAACAATAAGTACCTTCAGAGCTGCATTTCTCACACTTGCGGTACGTGATCACAGGGTTTAAAAATTATAATTCTATAAATGCAAGTGCTGGCACTTTTCCTTTCCATGTTGATTTGGCCATAACCCCCATACCCAATATAGTGAAGGGCTTTCCAAGAAAGTCCGGTCAAAGGGGGTGACAAGGCTCCTGCGTTGGAAGCTGCCACGATGGTCTACACAGACATTGCACTTGCAGTGTTGAAAGCAACTAGGAAAATATAACCGGTTTCTTTAGAAATATATTGAATGATGTTCAGAGATGGCCAAACGTTTGTCAAGTTATCCCGTGGTCTGCGTAATGCCATTGTTTGTGCAAATGACTGCATTTGAGCATTAATAATATCGTGGATGGACAGACGTAAGCATTAAAACACGTTGGAAGAGGGCCAGTTGCAAATGAGAGCTTGCCTAATTGTGCATATTGGATAAATGAATCTAGTTCACAAATGACAGGTAAACTCTCTAGGCCCTCGTTAGCAAACCTGCATCTGAGCCACTTACTATCACCTTGAAGCAAAGTTGGAAGGCTGCATAGGTGTTTTTGTTTATGTATAAAATAATGCGAATCACATAAAATGCATATATGGAATGGCCTTATCTAATTCATAATTAGCTTAGAGCTACACCACGTGTGGATTGACTGCAGAACGTTGTATCCCAACTCAGCATCCCATCGGCAATTTGGTCTGGGATTCTTTTCATTCACTGTATTTTTTAATGTGTTTTCATTGATTTATTTTGGTACCCCTTTTCAGCTTGCTGATAATTCTGGCTTACTGGAGTCTGGATTAGGGAGGTTTTCCTGTGCATACAACTTCACACGCTCATACAAACATACCAGGTGTAGGGATGCAGTTACGTTTTGAATTACGTGAACACACACTGTAAATATGACATGCAGACTAATCGCATCAATTGGTTTCAGAAAGCACTTATTAAGGCTGGTATGGTGCATGAGGCAGTAGTGTGGCCAGCACCGTACCGAGCCACGTTTGTATCCCCAGCGCTGATGTTCACACACTGCACCAGGCACTTAATTAATCCTGAGATGACGAAGGGAAAGCCGAGGAGAAGTTCCAATGCCATTTGACACATTTGTTTTCAATGTAAATTGAAAACAAACAGGAAAGTCCCACTGAGCTATACATCTCTTTTTCAGAAGCGATGTGGCCACAAATGATAGCTTAACGAAGTGGCCTATCACGTGAATATGTATAGCAACCAAAAACTCTAAAAGTCTAAACCAGTGGTTCTTAACTTTTACTGCACCTTGCAGCCCTTTGGTTCTCAATCGTAAAAAAAAATGTATCATGTTAATAAGTACATAGGGGTTTGATGAAACAAAGTAGTTGTACTTACGTGCCCGTGCTTAATTTGTGTTTTCAATTATTTACCTTCTAAAAAAATCTGACCACGCCTCGGACCCCCAGAAAGGGCATCTTACACCCCCAGGTGGTGCGTGCACCCCAGGTTAAGAACTACTGCTCTAAACGAACGGGGAGAACATGCACACTCAAAAGATACATGTGTAGTGTTTTAAAGGACGGACTTCTAAACTTCTTTATGGCACACACTGTTTATTATCTTAACACACAGTCTCCTGACCCTGCACAGCTCACACTCACTCTTCGTTCCTATTCTCCGAAGGTGCAGCCTTCGGACTTGCTGTCTATCTAATCTTCCCGCTAGCCTAGCGTCCTCCGGCTGGGACCTAGGGGAGGCACACTGACCCGTCGCTGGCCCGGCGGGTCCCCGACCTCTGGTCGCTCAGGACCTTCGCCCTCACAAGGGCGGGAAGGCTGGGAGCCAGGGCCCTATCCAGGATCTATCTCCCCTGACCACTGGTTACACTGAGCCCCAGCCCTGACAAGGGCTGGAAGGCTTGGTCCAGGGTCCTAGCTGTCTTCAGCTGACTTGGGTCTTCGTGTAGCAGAACTAACCAAGAGCTCTCAGCGCTCCAGCTTTTATACCTGTTCGTGGCCGGGTTGACCAATCCCCGGCTACCTCGTGGACCCCTCCGATTGGTCCTTCCCAATCTGGCGTTTGGATCCTACCTCACCCCATTTGACCCTAACTGTTTGATTGAGCGGGAAAACCTTGTTTACTAACTGCTCTCTCACAGCTTGCGAACAGCGAGTAGTTATCACCACTACACATGCATCAGGGTCGGGATCGAACCCACGACCGCATGTATACCAGGCGAGGAAGTTAACATCTCGCCACCATGGTGCCCAATCATACTCGGGCTACTGGGATTGTAGCGCTACGCTGTTACAAATACACACACAGTCCCAAAAAAATGTAACAAGCTTATATATTTTATAAACCGTCGTTATGTGGGTGGCGGACGGTAGGCGCATTCTCTCAAAGAATGTGAGCTCGTGTGGTAGATATGCCAAAGGTTAATGCTGAGTAAGATTGGAGGCCGAAACGCTTCATTACTATTCAAGGCAGTCGGGGCCAGTGGGATCCCCAGATGCATAAAACCATTGGATGTGGATGTCAGTGTGGAGACGTTTAAAACCGAACGACAACATCCTACGGAATTTCTGATAACATGGATTATTTTCCAAATGTCTCAGACTTTTTACGAGATGTCAGAATGCATTAACTCGGGAAATTCCTACAGGTAGCTGACTTATCGGAGAGAAGCATGCTGCGCCAGCCCTCAAAAGCCGGTTTCAGCGTGCCTGATTTCAATGTAATACACGTCAGCGTGATCCGTATTACACGTATACTGAACGCACAGAGCTCACTGCACTGAATGTGTGGGTGGCAGCTCACGGCACATTAATGTCAGTGATATCATGTGCTAGCCCAACGTAAGGCTGCCTCATGTTAATGCGCTGGCTTAGTTAAGGCTCACATCTGAATGTCGCCACTGTGAGCACATGTATGTATGTTTAACTTCTATCCCACCGTACGTAGCCAATTATACTAATTGGCGGTAGAGAGGAAGAACAACAAGTTTGCCACAAAAAGCAGTTAGAAAAAAAAGTTATGTTTCAATCTAAATTTAAAAGTGCATAGCTCCAGTGGATTCCTAATATCGGAAGGAAGAGCGTTCCGGACAGCCACAGAAGCACATCCGAATACGTGCGATGCAGTGACCGCCTTTGTTCGACGGCTAGCTAAAAGCCGCTGCGAGGATGACCGGAGTTCACGTGATGGTTTATGTTCCTTGACGAGATCAGCAAGGTATTGTGGTTCATTTATGGCAAGCACCATGCTTGCTACCAGGTTTGACTCTGAGGAGAAAACATTTGCACAGACACTTCATTTAATTCACTTAATGCATTTCCATTGGTTGCCAATTATAACATTGTGAACATTGAATTCCATATTATCAATCAAACTATGAGCTCCTGATATAGGAGAAGGTGTTCACGGGCACATTTGGCAAATTTACTCGAAAATGTACCTGGTTGAGTAAAACCACATCACAACATCGTCACCTACTGCAAAACTACTGCAGACTATGCTCATCCGTGAAAGATAGCACCTTCAATGGTGGCAACCTTTTCGCTATTTGGAATGGCACGGAAGATGCCAAAATTCGCAAACGATTAGAGTCGATCGTGAACGGAATCCCACGCCCCCTTCCCCCGTTTGACCTGGGATCGCCTTCCTCCTTCAGACGCCTGGACGCCAACCACCTGACGCGCTTGCCGGCGGGCAGCCTGCGCGGCGTGGCCGGCCTGCGCCACCTGTGGCTGGACGACAACGCGCTGACGGAGGTGCCCGTGGGCCCGCTCAACGAGCTGCCAGCCCTTCAGGCCCTCACGCTCGCCCTCAACCGCATCGCGCACATCCCCAACGGCGCCTTCCGCAACCTCTCCGGCCTCGTCGTGCTGTGAGTGGCGTCGCGTTGGTTCGCTCGCTCGCTCGCTCGCGCACACGGACGGCGACCGCACTCTTGCCAGCGGGCCCGTAGGTGTGAGTTTGTCTTCTCCCGCGTTGCCGTGAGACAGGTTAGTTTTACGCCAACCGATGCTATGTCGTCGCAGTGATAATTCTGCTCAGTACGAGAGGAACCACAGGCTCAGGCATTTGGCGCGTGCCCTCGGCTGAGAAGGCAAGGGTGCGACGCTAGCACGGTTGGCTACATGTGGTGCAAAAGAAGTTCAACATATATACATCGATCGTTTCAATGGCGAAAGCTTCCCAGGTTGTGTAATGTATGTATGCATGTTGAACTTCTTTTGCACCGTACGTAGCCAACCGTACCATCTCATTGGCTCGTATTCAAAGCTTTTGCTTCAGTCGTTCCTCTCATGGTGTGAGGGTACAGGTGCAGCCCTGAAAGTGCTCGCTCATGCCACTGCTGTCAGAAGGATCTTCACGAGGAAGAGGTTAATTTTCCCCGACATCTTCAGAATCAGAATATGTATTTACATTGGAGGAATCCTATGAGCTATGAAGCTATTTTTCACAAATGTCTTGGAGGAGGTGGGAATACCCACCCTTTACCCCACCATATGCAACCTGCAGATCGATTGTGGTGCACTCTTGTATACTGTTGGGTGGACAGAGGCTGGCGTGGGGGGGGGGGTTAAGTTAAACAGCTAAATATGTTACGATTGTTGCTAGAGCTTTGTTTATGGGCATCAAGTCGGTTACTCGTGTTTTACAATTTATTTCCACGTGGTTGTTGGTCATACAAAGCAAAAAAAGCAAAAAACATGTTAACAACTGTAGTTTATTATTACTTTTTCCCATCTGTACGTATATTGGATTATGTGTTCACATTTTCCTTATTTTTTGAATTGCTTGTTAATAGTAATTTTTGTTTATTAGAAACGATTTGGCAGCTGTTTTTGTCCAAATTTCAGTTCAAATCGCCATTCCGCAAAAGTTGCATACTCGTTCACACGCAGTTATATTTTCCCACTATAAAACACAAATTCCTGAAACATGAAGTTAATGTAATTATACGCCACACATATTGATATTTATAATGCTAGTATTTATTCGTCATGGTGGCCTCAGAGTTGTTTCTGCACAATAAAATAAACAAGCGCTCGGAGTAAATACAGCAAATGAACGTAAAAAATGTATCTTGAAGCGTCACACTCACGCTGCTTTGAGTGCAGCAGTGATGCACGTAAACGAATCAACGCAGGTAACTGAATTCCTCTTCAGCCAGGACGTCGTGTTTTGGACTCCACTCGGTGATCGCGTCCAAATCTAAACATTTCACTGCCGTTGCTCTCCAACGTAATAAAATATTTTAGTTTTAGTGGTGCATAATATAACGTTCAGTCTTATATAGCAGCGTTCATGCAAATTGCATCTCAGACTTGCTGAGCAACCACAGACAAGTTGGAAGATAGCCCGAGCTTTGCAGTCCTTAAAATATATTCAGCCAATTAATGGTTTATGTCACCATAATAGCTTCATTTAAATGTAATTACAGTAAGCTTTTTTTTATTATATTCTTGAATAAGCAACACTTTTGCTTATTTAAGTGTGAGCAAATGCTGCGATCGAGGTTTGATACGAGATGTCTGATATTAAAACAACAACATAAACCATTTCCATGAACATCTATTTTTCCCATTATGGCGCCTCCAATGCCATAACTTGTCCTAAACTTGAAGAGGACGTGTAAACAACACAAACGCACATTCCCTGAATTTACCACTTTCACTCTATGTGCGTCTAGTAATGGCATTAAACTTGATTGAACGGCTGAACATGATTTCGTCAGGGTCAAATGTGAAAACAAACACTGTCTCCAAATGTGAGCAGACAGACACATTTCTACAGATCTATGGCAGGTAATTAATATCAACGAAAAAGATCAACATCGGCCTGATATACGTTCCAGGGGAACTCGAAAAGATGCCCTTTGAGGCTTACCTTCAATTATTCAAACACATGAAACCATCCCGTTCAATAAGTCATAAACTAATCCAATCATTTTAACCATCCTCCCTGGGGCTGTAAAAGTCGTATATGGCCTTAAGCGACGCCGCTGTGGTGGAATGAAAGCGTGCCCGAATCCTGGAAAATGCATAAATACGCGTGTGCTTGATAGTCATCTGTCACTTGTGCATTTACACACTTCTCTCGAGCTTTGGATCGAGAATTAATGAGGCCGGTTGGAAATCGCAGTGCTCCATGTGGTGGAGTATTTTTTTTTTCATTGCCTGCTTGTGAATTGGGACAGTGTTTGATTTGTCGCAGCAAGCCGGGAAGGCTGGAGGACGACAAAGAAGAATATAACAGCAGGACGAGAGGGGCTCCTAAAACCGCTGCAGCAAAACTGATAAGATTTGCATCAATGCAATTTAGTCCAGTTTATTTATCTACTTCAATTCTCCTGCAACCTCCTAAGTGGCGATAAAATTGTATTAAACTTCATGTCTATTGAAATCCACGCGATATATATTCTGCGCACATAACGGATACACATATATGCGGCATGGTTCTAAACGTGCAGACTTTACGTGTGCATGCGTTACATGCTCGCTCAATACACATGTAGTGGGTTCTACGGAGGCACATAAAAAACGACATCATATGCACAAACGTAGTGTACATTTCTACACACTTAAATACTGAAAACATGTAAGTTAAAAAGAGACCAAACATTTAGACACTTGACAATTCTAATTCACATGCAAGCTGTGTGTATAAACAAACCAGTGGACTACAAACATTCAGAGTGACTGCTTGCTCGCGAATGAGCAATGCGACATCCTCGCAGCGGCTTTTGGCGAGCCATCGAACAGAGACGGCCACGACATCGCGCGCGTTCAGATGCGCTTCCGGTATTGGGAAGCCACTGGAGCTATGCACTTTTAAATCATCTAGATTGGCAAACTAATTTCTTTAGCACCGCTCTTCATGTTTCGTTTGTTGTCCTCTCTCCTTACCTCTAATTAGCACGGTTAGCTATGTACGATTCCGAAGAAGTTTGACACATACAGACAGTACTCATCTTCACTGATGCCTCGAGTCAGAGCTGAACATTCAACATTCCCATGGAAAGGACCGTACGGCAACAACTTCTGTATTCCCTCAATAGACTATTCATTTATCGACCCATGAAAGATTAAGGCAGCCGAGTAAATATATTTAATCACAAATCCACGCATCTGGAAAATCCCATGATAGAGAAAGGTTCAGCCCAGCAATCCTTGCTCACGCCACTGATGGCAAAAGGCCCTCCAAACGGTCGAGCATTGAATACAATTGTGTGATGTGTATATTTTATGCTTTTCTTGTTGAGCAAAAAAAATACTTTAGGACGTATTTTCTAAATTTGTTTACCTTAATAAGCATTATCCAGTATTTAAAAACATAGGATTAGCACAGCACCATTGCAGGACCACGATTAGTTGATGCTCTCAAGTGCAGTTCTGGACCCTAATCAAGAGCATTTGCTCTGATGTAACTGCTTTAAATTTCGCTCCACACATGCGGCCAATATAGCAATGGCAAGAAAGCCTTTAGTGCAGCAGCTCCAATGTAGTATGAAGCATCTGCTCTTCTTGATTGAACATGTATTACATATATTTTAGTTTGGCTACAGTTTGGTTTGGCTACACGGTGTGGAGGTTGGGCATGTTGCTCTCTGGGTCCAGATTTTGCTGTCGTCTAATCCCTCAGACTTTTCACTCATGATGATGTTATGAGGGTGGACGCTTTATTCACGTTTGTGCAGATTTTTTCACTCTTTCAGCGACTGAATGTGACCCGATGTTTATCCGTGCTCATAGCTACCCAAATATATCATGGGGCTACGTGAAAAAACGTTTACTTTCAAGCATTCTGAACAAATCCCTGGCTTAATATCGCCCTGTCATTTTGAATAAATAATGCACAACATGTGAATAGGCTGCACTAACTGATGTTGTTTTGAGACCTAAACATTGGACTCAGAAATTATTGTTATTGGGTTTAAGACATGGCCAAGATATAGGCAACCAGTGCCAGGCCTCTCCATCTGCCTGTGCAAGCCATAATAGCAGCCATGTACTTACCATGGAAAGCCGCAATGCCTCAATGACTCTTTAGACTTTTAAGGAGGGCCCTGCATTTAAATTGTTAGCCAATTCTGTTTTGAGTATTTTTCATTTTGTGGATGGAAAATCGAGTGCATGTAAAATACCCGTAGATTGTATTCTTATTAAAGGGATTTGTCATACTTTATAGCTACTTCTTGGTTCTTTCGGTAAAGTCACGTAGTAGAGAAGTAATAAAATAATAAAAATAAAACATAAGAAAATAATTATCACGACGTTTCGGCCACAACGCAAGCAGCCGTCCTCAGGTGAAGAACAGGTCTGTCGATAAGACAGACTCTGTCTTATTTTATTATGTTTTATTTTTATTATTTTATTACTTCCCTACTACGTGACTTTACCGAAAGAACCAAGAAGATGAATCCCTGCAGTCAGGAAAGCTTTAAATCGAAATTTATAGCTACTATTAGGTATCTATTCAAATGCCAATTTGAAAATCCGGTCATCAGAATTTTGTTTATACTTAATTCTCATCAGGCCCTGTGGTGTTAAAGTGCAGTATCTCACTCTGATCCACTATCTGTCTAGCCTATCTATGTATGTGCTATGAAGAAGGGCCACTGTGCGAAACATTACCTGTTATATACTTTGTTTTATATTCTATTTTATGTCAGCAGGAATCTCGACGAATGTGTTGATTTTTTCATATCCATGAGGCAGTGACGCTCAAAATTCTGCACACATGGTTCAAAAACCAACTCACCACCGGGCATTGCTCAGCCATCAAGATGGGAGTCTCACACGTGATGAGCTTCGAGTAATCGTAGGCGTCTATGCACGCATCTACCCACTCATAATGTAGAAGTGAACTGCAGAAAGC